CAAGACGCTCTCTGATTGGCTGGTGATCTTAACTACTTAATGGCCTCTCGATACTGTCTAGTGGTGCATTATGGTGTGTTGTTATTATTATGGTTCTAATAGAGACAGAGAGAGAGCAGACCTTTACAAGATCCATAACCTCTAACAGACAGACAGACAGACAGACAGACAGACAGACAGTTTAGACGCAGGCTAGAGACAGTTAAACAGGTTGCAAGACAGTGAGGTAAGCTGTCAGGCAATAAGACCATAAGAATGAATGAAGGAAACAGCAATAATATGTTGGTCCATCCAGTACCCCAGACCCCAGCTAGTCCCAATCGTCACCACCCAGAAACAAATCAAACCCCACTCAGCCCCACCCAGACCAACTGAGACCCCACCCACTCACCATCTAGCCCATCAGCCTCACCCAGACCCCCAAACAGACCACAGCCCCAATCAGCCCCGCCCAGTTCCTCCCAACCCCACCCACCCAGCCAATATCACTCATATAATCTGTCCAACCTATATTTGAAGCTTCCCAGTGGGGTCGTATTTGGTAATTTCCACTAATCTATTTTCAAACCAATATTTACTTAATCCCTGTCTAAATATATGTGTCTTAGTTAAAACTATTGCTGAGTTCGTTCCTGGTTTGGTAGTTTAAATACAACCTATCTTTCATTTATACATTAAATAATATAACATATCACCCCTAACCTGTAACCTCCATCCACCTCACCTCCCTAACACACACTCATCTTTCATATATGATAATAACCCACCATACCTCCCACCTCACCTCTCTTAACACGCGAAACTATCGCTTCTTGTGTCACTTGGTCTCCTTGATATGAACCCTCTCACCCTGTTAGCCTTGTCTAGTACAGTACATACACACATTACTGTCTTGGTCTAAATGTTCCTACTTATCATTACTCTTAAATCTTTCTCTCAATCTAGTTAGTAGCTTATTCTTCTGTGTCCATTCCATAACATGTCATTTTTTTCAATCCAGATTAAAAATTTGTTCAGATATTCCTATAATTTTTCTGATTCTTCGTCAGGTTTAATTACACTGTCTATATTTGTGTCAATAGCTAATTTACTTTTGTCTATGCCTATATTCGCCTATATCCATATCGTTAATGTATATAATAGTGTGGGTCCCAGTACAGAGCCTTGAGGAACTCCACTGGTGACGTTATCCCCAGTTGAATTTTTTGTACCATTTATGCCGACTCTCTCGTTCCCACCCATAACACTACATACACGCAGACACTCAGCTATGACACGAGCTACAGACACACAGACAGGCTATAAGACACACAGACACACAGACAGACAAGCTGGTATATAGACTGTCAGGCTAATACAGCAATAACGTCACATCTCAGACTGACGCCACCTACTGATAACACACACACACACACACACACACACACACACACACACAAAGACAGGCTATAAGACACACAGACAGGCCGGTAGACAGAGAGTGAGGAAGGCAGAGCAGGCTGTCAGACTAACACAACAATAGCGTCACACTCCAGACTGGCGCCACCCACTGATAACACAGACAGCGGCCGCCACCTGATTGTCGAATATACTCAATTTATTCAGATTTTCCTCACCAGCTACTGAGCGGTGAGGGTTAGAGAGGTGAGGGTAGAGGGTAAAGCGGTGAGGTTAGAAGGTGAGGGAGTGGGAGGTAAAAGTGAGGTGAAGTGAGGTTACAGGGGTGAGGTTACAGGGTGAGGGTTACAGGGGTGAGGTTACAGGGGTGAGGTGAGTGGTGTGAGGTGGTTAGAGGGGTGAGGTGGGGGTTGGGGGTGAGGTAGAGGTGAGGGTGAAGAGGTGAGGGTGAGGTGAGGAGTTAGGGTGAGGTAGAGGGGTGAGGTGAGGGTTAGAGGGGTGAGGGTGGGAGGGTAGAGGGTGAGGTGGGGAGTAGAGGGGTGAGGTGGGGGTTAGAAGGGTGAGGTGGGGGTGAGGGTTAGAGAGGTGAGGGTAGAGGGTAAAGCGGTGAGGGTTAGAGGGGTGAGGGTAGAGGGGTGAGGGTAGAGGGGTGAGGGTTGTGGGTGGGAGGGGTGAGGTGGGGTTAGGGGGGTGGTGAGGGTTAGGGGTGAGGGTTAGAGGGTGAGGGTGAGGGTGAGGTTAGAGGGGTGAGGGAGGGGTGAGGGTGAGGGTAGAGGGGTGAGGGGTAGAGGGGTGTAGGGGTAGAGAGGGTAGAGGGGTTAGAGGGGTGAGGGTAGAGGGGTGAGGGTTAGAGGGGTGAGGTAGAGGGGTGAGGGGGTAGAGGGTAGAGGGTGAGGGGTGGGAGGGGTGAGGGTTAGAGGGGTAGAGGGGTGAGGGGTTGAGGGGTAGAGGGGTGAGGGGTAGAGGGTTGAGGGTGAGGGTAGAGGGGTTAGAGGGGTAGAGGGGTGAGGGGTGAGGGGTTAGAGAGGGGGGAGGGTAGGGGTAGAGGTGAGAGGGTAGAGGGGTGAGGGGTTAGAGGGGTAGAGGGTTAGAGAGGGTTGGGTGAGGGTGGGGTAGGGGGTGAGGGGTAGAGGGGTAGGGTGAGGGGTGAGGGGTGAGGGTTAGAGAGGGTAGAGGTGAGGGGGAGGGGTTAGAGGGGTGAGGGGTGAGGGGTGAGGGAGGTTAGAGGTGAGGGGTGTGGAGAGGGTGAGGGTAGAGGGTTAGAGGGTGAGGGTAGGGTGAGAGGGTGAGGTAGAGGTGAGGGTAGAGGTGAGGGGTGAGGGTGAGGGGTGAGGGGTTAGAGGGTGAGGGTAGAGGGGTAGAGGGTTAGAGGGGTAGAGGGGAGGGGTTAGAGGGTGAGGGGTGAGGGTAGAGGGGTAGAGGGGTAGAGGGGGGGAGGGGTGAGGGGTTGAGGGGTGAGGGTAGAGGGGTGGGTAGAGGGTGAGGGGAGGGGAGGGGTGGGGGTGGGGTGAGGGGTGAGGGGGAGGGGTGGGAGGGGTGAGGGGTGAGGGGTGAGGGGTAGAGGGGTGAGGGTTAGAGGGGTGGAGGGTAGAGGGGTGGGGAAGTGTAGAGGTGTAGAGGGGTGAGGGGTGAGGGTTAGAGGGGTTGAGGGTAGAGGGGTGAGGGCAGAGGGTAGAGGGTGAGGGTAGATGGATGAGGGTAGAGGGGTGAGGGGTGAGGGTAGAGGGGTGAGGAGTGAGGGCTGAGCAGTAAAGGGGTGAGGACTGAGGGCTGGGGGTTAAGGGCTGAAGCAGAGGACTTGGGACAAGGATAATTCAAATACGCAAACAAACAAACAAACAAACAAACAAACAAACACATAACAGCTGGTTTAATAAATCGATAAATTTATTACATTGTTGTAACGGGAAGTTCGCCTCTATCACCACCTGGCCTTGCTTGTGCGGGGCATGAGCGTGTTAACCAACTAGCGCCAGTAGGGGTCACAGGGCCTCGCCAACCGGGTATAAAAAGTGACCTTAACGACAGCTTGACGTTAATCCCTTCATTCTGGGGTCGAGCCAAGGCAATGAGGAGCTAAACCACAACTGTTGAAAAGGTCATAATCCCAGGTTAAATTGGTACGAGAAACGACTTTATTAACAGACTGAATTAAGTCCATTATCCATGGGTACGAGTGGAGCATAATAGTACTAAGCCATGAGTTCTAGTAAGGGTGACCATCCCTTAATAACCGAGTGCGACATCCGCCCTTATCGACAATCTACACATAGTGCTATCATCCCAATGTCATTCTGGAGGTGCCACGTACATCATCCTTCAGACATAACCTCATTACTGGCTGCTCTTAGTCTCTGATATTTGCTTACATAGGGTGAAGTATGAGCTTCTGATTGGTCCAGCGCCTCCCCATGCCCCTCCTACTTGCTTATATGGAATCAAGTCCCAGGGCGTTGATTGGCCGAGGAGTGAAATCCTTCGTGAGATGCCCCGCCTACATTTTATTTCTGGTAGTCAGTGTGAGCTTGTGATTGGCTGAGGCACACGGGTTTGGGAAAATTCTCTCTCTCTCTCTCTCTCTCTCTCTCTCTCTCTCTCTCTCTCTCTCTCTCTCTTAGCTTTATTTGATGGTTAGAAAATAGTAATATTTATAATGAATTCAAAACTGTACTGAGAGAGAGAGGTTGTCCACTTATGACCCCCCCTTAAATACGGGTATAACAGTGGCGCCAGTAGTCTGTGGGATATCGCCTTGTTTATCCAACCTGTATCTAGTGATAAACTTATTATCGTCTCACAGCTGGGGAAACACGTCTCAACATGTCTAGTGTGCGCGCGTGTGTGTGTGTGCTTACTCATGACTGTATTGTGTGTGTGTGTGTGTGCTTACTCATGACTGTATTGTGTGTGTGTGTGCATGTATGAGCAAGGGTGTTCATGTATTAGTGAATTTGTTTAAGGTGTAGAAGCTGTCGCCAACACAATAACCGCACCCTGAGTTAAGGAGAAGCATGACCCAGTGTCAAGGAATAGTCCGAGAAGACCGGACAACTCGCCAACTGCACTGGCTAACCATTATCCCGGAATACGATCAACAAATCGATTAACATTCAGGTCCCCAATTACTGCTGCAGACAGAGGCAAATGGCGTGGAAGAAACGGCTCAGTTTCACTCTCTGCCTGAGTAACACACACACACACACACACACACACACACACACACTTTCACGTACTGAGCTCTATCGGGGTGGATTTCTTCGACCGTTTTAGAAAATTTCAGGTAAATTTTAAACCATGACTGGCGAGGTAAAATATACCGTTATTGTGGACACCGATGTTTGCCAGGTATATAGTGGACGGGGAGAGAAAGGGGAAAAAGAAAGGAAGTAAGAGAAAGAAAACAGAGAAAGGAAAGAGACAAGGGAGAGAGAAAATAAAGAGAAACAGAATGCGAGCCTGTAAGCGAGAGAGGGAGAAAGAGCAAGAGAGCAAGAGTGGGTCTTTAAAATTATTTTCTGTAAAGTTCAGAAAGAAACCAGTAGTAGTGTTTAATGGTACCAGGGTCTACCAGCAGTGGGGTCTACAACCAGTTGGGGTCCAGCATGAGGCTACCAAGGGTGGGGTCTACCAGGAGTGGGGGTCTACCAGCAGTGGGGTCTACCAGCAGTGGGGTCTACCAGCAGTGGGGGTCTACCAGCAGTGGGGTCTACCAGCAGTGGGGTCTACCAGGAGTGGGTCTAGGAGTGGGGGTCTACCAGGAGTGGGGGTCTACCAGCAGTGGGGTCTACCAGCAGTGGGGTCTACCAGGAGTGGGGCTCTACCAGCAGTGGGGTCTACCAGCAGTGGGGTCTACCAGGAGTGGGGTCTCCAGCAGTGGGTCCACCAGCAGTGGGGTCCTACCAGCAGTGGGGTCTACCAGGAGTGGGGGTCTGCAGTGGTCTACCAGCAGTGGGTCTACCAGCAGTGGGGTCTACCAGCAGTGGGGTCTACTAGAACTGGGGTCCGCCGTAACTGGGGTCTACTGTAAGTGGGGTCTATCAGGACTGGGGACTTTCAGAGCTGGGGGTCTACCAGAACTGGGGTCTACCAGAACTGGGGCCTACCAGCAGTGGGGTCTACCAGCTGTGGGGTCTACCAGCACTGGGGTCTACCGTAACTTGGGTCTATCAGGACTGGGATCTACCAGAACTAGGGTCTACCAGTAGGGTCTACCAGAACCGGGAGTCCACCAGAACTGGGGTCTACGAGGACTGGGGCCAACGAGGACTGGGGTCTACCAGAATTGGGGTCTACCACACACACACACCTGTACTCACGCTTTTGTGAATAAGTTACCCTTTATTTATAGAACTAAACAAATAATGTGATTGAAATACTGTGTAACATTCAGTGCCATAATATCCTGACAACGGGGGTTAATTATTATGACCCGTTGTAAACTCTACTCTGTAATCCTTGCTCACTGGATGGGTGTGGTGCACAATAAAAGTAGCCACTGTAAGCAGCAAAATCAAATCAAATCAAATCACACATACATGACTTGACCCTTGACAGTAAAGACCCCAACCCTTGACAGTAAGACCTGACCCTTGACAGTAAGACACCCTTGACAGTAAGACTTGACCCTTGACAGTAAGACTGACCACAGTAAGAACTTGATCGCCAGCAGTAAGACTTGACCCTTGACAGTAAGAACTTGACCCTTGACAGTAAGACCTGACACTTGACGAGTAAAGACTTGATCCTTGACAGTAAGACCTGACCCTTGACAGTAAGACCTGACCCTTGACAGTAAAGACCTGACCCTTGACAGTAAGACCTGACCCTTGACAGTAAGCTTGGCCCGCCAGCGAAGCAGGACTTGACCCTTGACAGTGAGACCTGACCCTTGACAGTGAGACCTGACCCTTAACAGTAAGACCTGACCCTTGACAGTAAGACATGACCCTTGACAGTAAGACTTGACCCTTGACAGTAAGACTTGATCCTTGAGCTGTAAGACTTGACACAAATTAACACCTTTAACACCAAGACTTGACCTCGTGACCTGACCTTCTGTGTCCCACTGAAACAAAGGAAAGGAAATTACGTAATAAAATTGGTTCAATAATTTGATAATTTTAGGTAAATCATCTTTGTTAATCATCTATTTTGTTAATGGTATATTTGTTAATTTTCACTCACTCACTTTCAAAGAGAGCGACCGACAGACAGACAGACAGACAGACACAAAATTACAGGCTGGCAGAAAAAAACACACACCACACACACACACACACACACACACACACACACACCAATAAACAATAATCACAGTAATTTCCTCAATGCTGATTTGAGGAAATTTCTCGTAAATGGAACCACAATTACGAGATTCTCAAACACACTTACTAAGAGACTTCAAAACAGCTGGTTAACCCCTTATCTCTTCCCTATTATCTCCCTATTATCTCCTAACTCATATCGCTATCTCTCCCATCTACTTAAGTTTGACTGTTATCTACGTCTGTCACACCTGTACATACATACATACATACATACATACATACATACAGACAGACAAACTGATATTCTCAACTAAATCTTCCTTCTCCCTCCTTCTCCCCCTCCCACCCCTTCATCCTTCTCTTCCATATTCTCTCTTCACCTTCTTACCTCCCTCTTTCCCTCCTCCCTTCCCTCCCTCCTCCCTTCCTCCCCCTCCCTCCATTAGCCTCATGTTTACTATGACAAAGAATCATAACACCCGAGTCATTACACCATCTGGGAGTCTTATATATAGATGGGGTATGAGTCTTATATCTCATACTCGAGCATAGGGAGTCTTATAAGTGTTTAGGGAGTCTTATATATGTATAGGAAGTCTTATATGTATTTCAGGAGTCTTATTGTGTGTTTAAGGAGTCTTATATGTGTGGAGTCTTTTTGTGTTTTAGAGTCTTATATATGTTTAGGGGTGTATATGTATTTAGGAGTCTAAGTCTTATATTAAGTCTTATATATGTTTAGGGAGTCTTATATATGCTTAGAGAGTCTTATTATGTGTTTAGGGAGTCTTATAAATGTTTAGGGAGTCTTATATATGTAGAGTCTTATTATGTGTTTAGGGAGTCTCATTTTGTCCTTGGAGAGTCTTATTTTGTCTACAATGAGCCTTATAATCTATGGGGAGTTGGGAGTCTTATCATGTCTATAGGAGCCTTATATGTGTCTAGGGAGCTTTATTTTGTCTAGGGAGTCTTATTTGTCCAAGAATTAGACCAACAGAGTAATGGCAATATGACACTATGTAAATAAGCAGAGATTCATAGTTAATTTCTTCAATTATTGATGAGGAGAGAGAGAGAGAGAGAGAGACGGAAAAATAGATAGATTGAAAAACAGATGAAGAGAGGGAGAACAGAGACAGACAGACAGACAGACAGATAGACAGACAATTAAAATCTAAGGGAGTTGTACTATATTTAAATACATATATTTTGATATAATTAAATTATTAACAATAATAATAACGAGCAGACAGACAGGCAAACAAACTTACAGATGGACAGTTAGACAGGCAGACATACAGACACTACAGGCAGACAGACAGACAAACTTACAGATGGGTAGACAGACAGACAGTTAGACAGACAGATAATCCCTCATTTTATAGTGCTTTTGCAACCAACATTACGACACAGCTGACGGTCAAGATGGCGCCAGAAGCTCGTTAAGACTCTACTGTAATCTGACACTTTCAATGTTATGTTGATAAGGAAAATATTTGAAGTATGATAGTTTGGAGACACCGGGGGGATGATGTGGTGGGGTGGGGGTTGTGGTGGTGGTGGTGGGAGGATGGTGGTGGTGGGGTGGTGGTTGTTGTGGTGGTGGTGGTTGTGGTGGTTGTGGTGGTGATGGCGATGGTGGGAATTGAGGGTGGTGGGGGTGGTGGTGGGGTGGTGGTGGTTGTGGTGGGGTGGTGGTGGTGGTTGTGGAGGTGGTTGTTGTGGTGGTGGTGGTGGTGGTGGAGTTGGTTGTGGTGGTGGTTGTTGTATAGTGTGGGGTGAGTGGCAGGGGTGAGTGGTGGCAGGGGTGGTGTGGGAGTGGTGTTGGCGTGGTGGTGGTGGCAGGGGGTGGTGGCAGGGTTAGTGGCATGGATATTGGCAGAGGTGTGGTGGCAGGGATGGTGTGTGGGGGGTGTGGCAAGGGTAGTGGCATGGATGTTTGAAGTGGTGGCAGGGATAGTGGTGGCAGGGGGTGGTAGTGTCAGGAATATTGGCAAGGACTAGTGGGGAGTAGTGGGGCGGGATGGTGGTGCCAGGGGTAGTGGTGGCAGGGGTGGTGGTGTGGGGTGGTGGTGGCGGGGTGGTGGTGTGGGGTGGTGTGGGGTGGGGATGTGGTGGAGGGTAGTGGCGGGCAGAGATTAGTAGGGAGGCAGGGTAGTGTAGGGGTAGTGGCAGGGATATTAGCCAAGGTAGTAGTGGCAGGGTAGTGGTGTGGGGAGTGAGTGGTGGCAGGAGTGGTGGCAAGGGTAGTGGCAGGGATATTGTGGGGTAGTGGTGGCAGGAGGTGGTGGCAGGGGTGAGTGGTGTGGGGGTGGTGGTGCTGGGGAGTAGTGTGAAGAGGTAGTGTGGGGATATTGTAGGGGTAGTAGTGGCAGAGTGAGTGGCATGAGGGAGTGGTGTAGGGTAGTGGCAGGGATATTGGCAGGGTAGTAGTGGCAGAGTGAGTGGTGGCAGGGGTAGTGGTGGCAGAGAGGTAGTGGTGTGGGGGAGTAGTGGCCATTTCCAACAGCTCGACAGAATATCTTAGGTTGGACAAATTGCCAAGCAGAATTTGGAAGGTGTACAGGCTGGTGGTGGTGGTGGTGGTGGTGGTGGTGGTGGTGGTGGTGGTGGTGGTGGTGGTGGTGGTGGTGGCGGTGGTGGTGGGTGAGGTGGTGTGTGGTGGGTGGTGGTGGGCTGGTGGTGGGTGGTGTGGTGGTGGCGGGGTGGTGTGGTGGTGTGGTGGTGGTGGTGGTGGTGTGGTGGTGGTGGGTGGGGTGCTGGTGGTGGGTGGTGGTGGTGGTGGTGGTGGTGGTTGGTTGGTGCTGGTGGTGGTGGGTGGTGGTTGGTGGGGTGGTTGGTGGGTGGGGTGGTGGTGGTGGTGTGGTGCTGGTGGTGGGTGGTTGGTTGGTGTGGTTGGTTGGCGGTGGTGGCTGATTAGTTGGTGGGGTTGATTGGTGGTGAATTGGTGGTGGTGGGTGGTGGGTGGTGGTGAGTGGTGGTGGTGGTGGTGGTGGTGGTGGTGGTGGTGGCGGTGGTGGTGGTGGTGTGAGGTGGTGGTGGTGGGGTGGGTGGTGGTGGTGTGGTGGTGGTGGTTGGTGGTGGGGTGGTGGTGTGGGGTGGCGGTGGTGGTGGTGGGGTGGTGGTGGTGGTTGGTGGTGGTGGTGGGTGGCGGTGTGGTGGCGGTGGTGGTGGGGTGGTGGTGGTGGTGGTGGTGGTGGTGGTGGTGTGGTGGTGGTGGGTGGGTGGGTGGTTGTGGGTGTGGTGTGGTGGTGGTGGTGGTGTGGTGGTTGGTGGGGGTGGTTGGTGGTTGGTGTGGGGTGGGTTGGTGGGTGGGGTGTGGTGGTGGTGGTTGGTGGTGGTGGTTGGTGGTGGTGGTGGTGCGGTGGCGGTGGTGGTGGTGACGGTGGTGGTGTGGTGGTGGTGGTGGTGGTGGTGGGTGGTGGTGGGTGGGTGTGTGGTGGCGGTGGCGGTGGCGGTGGTGGTGGTGGTGGTGGTGGTGGTGGTGGTGGTGGTGGTGGTGGTGGTGGTGGTGGTGGTGGTGGTGGTGGCGGGTGGTGGTGGTGGTGGTGGCGGTGGTGGTGGTGATGTGGTGGTGGTGGTGGTGGTGGTGGTGGTGGTGGTGTGGTGGCGGTGGTGGTGGTGGTGGTGGTGGTGGTTGGTGGGTGGTGGTGGTGGTGGTGGTGGTGGTGGTGGTGGTGGTTGGCGGTGGCGGTGGTGGTGGTGGTGGTGGTGGTGGCGGTGGTGGTGGTGGTGGTGGTGGTGGGTGGTGGTGGGGGTGGTGGTGGTGGTGGTGGCGGTGGTGGTGGTGGTGCTGGTGTGGTGGTGGTGGTGGTGGTGGGGGTGTGGTGGTGGTGGTGGTGGTGGTGGTGGCGGTGGTGGTGGCGGTGGCGGTGGCGGTGGTGGTGGTGGTGGTGGTGGTGGTGGTGGTGGTGATGGTGGTGGTGGTGGTGGTG